GAATGGTGATCATCTAAAAATCTGGAGATAACATGCTGGAGAGGATGTGGAGAAATCGGAACACCGTTGGTGGGACTGTAAACTAGTTCAACCATTATGGATGACAGTGTGGCTCTTCCTTAAGGACCTAGAAATAGAAATTCCATTTGACCCAACCATCCCATTACTGGGTATATACCCAAAGGATTATAAATCATTCTATTATAAAGACACATGCACATGTGTGATCATAGCAGCACTGTTTATAATAGCAAAGACCTGGAACCAACCCAAATGCCCATTGATGATAGACTGGACAAGGAAAATGTGGCACATATACACCATGGAATACTACACAGCCATAAAAAATGATGATTTTCATGTCCTTTATAGAGACATGGATGAAAATGGAAATCATCATTCTCAGCAAACTGACACAAGAACAGAAAATCAAACACTGCATGTTCTCACTTATAGCTGGGTGTGGAACAATGAGAACATGTGGACACAGGGAGAGGAGCATCACAACTGGGGTCTGTTGGGGGAGGCCAAGGGAGGGACAGTGGGGGGATGGGAGGTCGGGGAGGGATAACTGGGAGAAATGCCAGATGTAGGTGATAGGGGATGGAGGCAGCAAACCACATTGCCATGTGTGTACCTATGCAACAATCCTGCACGATCTGCACATGTACCCCAAAACCTATAGTACAATTAAAAAGAAAAAGAATAACTTATAAAAAAACAGTTTAGGTTTCCACAATGATTTTGAGCTGAAGGTTAGGCAAAAGAAGAATGAAACAGAATAAGTGCCACTCCAAGTCCTGGCTTGAGCTGAATATATCAAGGTTTTGAGTTGTTTTTAAAGAATTTCTTTCTTTCTTTTTTTCTGGCTATAAACCCCAAACATTTTACTGTAGAAAATTTAGAAAATAAGAGGGAAAGTCCAAAGAAGAAAATGGTCATAATCCTACCAAACAAAAATAACTTGCTATTTGGTAAAAACCTTCAGCGTGTTCTGAGCGTCTCTCTCCGTGTCATGGGAATCACACATTTCATAGCCTGCTTCACTTCATGTAATGACATGTGATCATTTGCTCAGGTGACTTCATCTTCTACCTTGCTGGCTCACCAGGTGTTTTTCTGAGTCACTGTTCTCCACCAGCTCTGTTCTTGGGCACGTGGTTTCTTTCCATTTTTCCACTGCAGTGAGCATCCTTGTGGAGGAGTCCATCTCGGAGATAAAAAGGTGAAATCAAATGTTGTAAATGGTTTTAAGAATGTGGATATATAGTAGCAAATTGCTCTCCATAACAGTTGTTCAAAGTAAGTCATCCTTGTGCATATCACCTCCCATAGATGCCTCTATTTCCCACTGGGTATTATAAATTCAGTGATTATTCTTGACATCTCATTATGTTTCTATTTTATCTACATATTTACATTTCTTTTGCTATCAGTAAATTGAACTTTTTCATGTGTTTATTAATCATTTGTGTGTGTGTGCGTGTTTGAGAAATGCCACTTTATTTCTCTTGCCATTTTTCTGTTTAAGATGTTTTTCAGCTGGGCATGGTGGCTCACACCTGTAATTCCATCACTTCAGGAGGCCAAGTCAGGTGGATAACCTGAGATGGGGAGTTCCAGACCAGCCCAATCAGCATGGAGAAACCCTGTCTCTACTAAAAATACAAAATAGCTGCTCATGGTGGTGCATGCCTGTAATCCTAGCTAGTCGGGGGGCTGAGGCAGGAGAATCATTTGAACCCAGGAGGCAGAGGTTGCAGTGAGTTGAGATCGCGCCATTGCACTCCAGTCTGGGCAACAAGAGCAAAACTCTGTCTTAAAAAAAAAAAAAGATGTTTTTTAGGCTGGGCATGGTGGCTAATGCCTGTAATCCCAGCACTTTGGGAAGCCACGGTGGGAGGATTACCAGGTCAGGAGATCGAGACCATCCTGGTTAACATGGTGAAAACCTGCCTGTCTAAAAATACAAAAAAATTAGCAGGATGTAGTGGACACAGCTGTAGTCCCAGCTACTCAGGAGGCTGAGGCAGGAGAATCACTTGAACCTGGGAGGTGGAGGTTGCAGTAAGCTGAGATCACACCACTGCACTTCAGCCTTGTCAGTAGAGTGAGACTCTGTCTAAAAAAAAAAAAAAAGGTGTTTTACTTTTCCCATTGGTATATAATGATATTGTTCTGCACATTTGATATTTTTCTAATTTCAATTATGTTCTTACATTTATATTCTGAAATCTCTTTTTCTTTTATGGTTAGAATAAGTATTTACATATATATGCTATAATTATTTTATGATCTCATTGTAAAAATTTAACCCTTGAATCCTTGTAGAGTTTATTTCACTAATGGGGACTCAAGCAGGAAATTAACTTTGTTTCTTCTCCAGATTGTTAATCACTTGTTCTAATGTCATTTATTGAATAATTGCTCTCCACAGATCTCAAAGACCATGTTTATTTTATAATAGACTTCTACATATATTTATACTTTCTGGTTTTCCAATTTTTCTTTTTTACCTTATCCACCTACCTTTGGAACTTTCTGGGTTTTCTATTTGGATCTCTGTGTTTGTCTTTCTTATTTTTAAAGACAGGGTTTCAGTCTGTCACTCAGGCTGGAGTACAGTGGGGCTATTATGGCTTGATACGGGCTCGAACGCCCTGGGCTCCAGCGATTCTCCCACCTCAGCTTCCTAATAGCTGAGATTACAGGAACACACCACCATGCCCACCTAATTTTTGTATGATTTTTTTTTATTGACGCAGTGTTTTGTTCTTGTTGCCCAGGCTGGAGTGCAATGGCACGATCTTGGCTCACCACAATCTCTACTTTATGGGTTCAAGTGATTCTCCTTCCTCAGCCTCCAAAGTAGCTCAGATTACAGGTACATGCCACCATACCTGGCTAATTTTGTTTCTAGTAGAAACGAGTTTCTCCATTTGGTCAGACTGGTCTCAAACTCCCAACCTCAGGTGGTCTGCCCCGCTCAGCCTCCCAAAGTCTTGGGATTACAGGTGTGAGCAACAGCGCCAGGTCTTCATTTTTGCATTTTTGATAGCAATGCAAAAATTTTCATTTTTCACCATGTTGCCCAGGCTGGTCTTGAACTCTTGACCTCAAGTGATCTGCCTGCCTCAGCCTCCCAAATTGCTGAGATTACAGGAGTGAGCCATGGTGCCCTCCCTATCTTTCTATTCTTTTTATTTTTTTTTAAACAGAGTTTCGCTCTTGTTGACCAGGCTAGAGTACAACAGCATTATCTCAGGTCAGTCATCACAACCTCCACCTCCCAGGTTCAAGTGATTCTCCTGCCTCAGCCTCCCGAGTAGCTGGGATTACAGGCATGTGCCACCATGCCTGGCTAACTTTGTATTTTTAGTAGAGACAAGGTTTCTGCGTATTGGTTAGGTTAAAACTCCCAACCTCGGGTAATCTACCCACCTCAGCCTCCCAAAGTGCTGGGATGACAGGCATGAGCCACCTCTCCCAGCCCCTATCTGTCTATTCTTATATGAGTCACATACTACTTCAAGTGGCATCACTTCATAATTAATTTCAGGAATCTTACAGAATAAATGCTTTTATTCCCATCATCAAAAGACAAAATTACAACATATTTAGTTTAAAGATCTTAATTGACTTCTTCGTTTTTTTTTTTTTTTTTTTTTGGAGACAGTGTCTCACAGTGTTACCCAAGCTGGAGTGCAGTGGCACAATCTTGGCTCACTACAACCTCTGCCACGCAGGCTCAAGTGATTCTCCCGCCTCAGCCTCCCGAGTAGCTGGGATTACAGGCACGTGCCACCGTGCCTTACTAATATTTTGGTATTTTAGTAGAGAACAGGTTTCACCATGTTGGCCAGGGTGGTTTCAAACTCCTGAGCTCAGGCAACCCACCTGCCTCAGCCTCCCAAAGCGCTAGGATTACAGGCATGGACAACCACACCCGGCCCTTAATTGACTTTTACTTGTGAGTCTAGAATCTGGCAACACCTCATTCCATAAAATAGATAGAGTGTTCTAAAGAGCTGACCAGAGAGGTTTGCCTTTGTAGACAGAAAAAGGCCAGGAAAGCAGAAACAGAACAGAAGCTAAATTGGGCTTTCTGAAGTGACGTTGCTAATAAAAGTTAAAGCAGAGGGGACTTTCTTATCATGTCAGCTAAAACTGGCCTGTTGGGCATTTGGCTATTACCTCTCAGTCTCTCCTGATTTCTTAGAAGGTTGAATAAGCAACTTAGTTCTGGCTTAGTAGCAGAGAACTTCAGCATGGGCAACTGCGTTTTGGTTTTGTCTATTCGGCCTAGTGCAGGAGCTCAGTCCAAACCAATGGCCTCCTATATATTTCATTGAACACTGTCTGCCCTTTCAAAAGTTCCCAGAAATTACCATATTAAGGTTTGTTAATTTAGCTCATTTCAGGAAGATGACAAGGTCAACTAGATACTTTTCCTTGTTCTACAATTTCAGCCTAGATTAACTGGTTTGTTCACGGAGCCATCAAAGATGCCTTTGTGATCTGGGAAATGAACTTCCTAGCCTCGCCCTCTGTGTTCACAGCATGGCCCCAACCTAGTTTTCCACTCATATCTCCAAATAATCCAGTTAACTACAATAAGCCTTCAACTATATGTTTGGTGCTTCTCTTCTCTTTGTTAATGTTTCATTCTTTCCATGAAACTCCTCATTCTGTCCTTTATCTTCCATATTCTGCAAAGAGGCTAAAGACTGCGTTATCTTTAAAGGTCTCTTGAACTTCCTCTGCAGTGAAACAGCCCACATATCATTACTGCCCTATGCCTGCTGACTCCTGTTTACCTCTTTCTGTAGTTCATGCTAGTGATTTGTGTGGGTCTTGTTCCCTTGCTAAGTCACCGCGGTTAGGAGCTCCACCTCATAACCTCTACCAGAGCCCAGCAGAGGTCCTGGTACACAGCACTCAGTAAAGGATTATCCTCTGAATTAATTCATTCTTCACCCTGAGCTTTCTTCACATTACAGAATGTTCTCCTGGGCGGCCTTGTGATCTTTGCAACCTTTGTGACTTTATGCAATGCATCATGCTATTTAATACTGAATGACATAGTTCCAGAAGAGTCAACCAAGGGTAAGTCTTGGTTTTTCAATGTTTATTATGTTATTGCAGCATGGCAGGTGGACCTGTCTGCAGATGAAAATCTTTGTGTTTGTTGTTATTGTTTGTTTGTTTGAGACAGTCTTGCCCTGTCTCCCAGGCTAGAATCAGTGGTGAGATCTCGGTTCACTGGAACCTCCTCCTCCCGGGTTCCAGTGATTCTCCCACATCAGCCTCTGAAGTAGCTGGGACTGCAGGTGCCCACCACCATGCGCAGCTAATTTTTGTGTTTTTGGTAAAGACGGGGCTTCATCATGTTGGCCAGGCTGGTTTCGAACTCCTGACCTCGGGTGATATGCTCGCCTGGGCCTCCCAAACTGTTGGGATTATAGATGTGAGCCACTGTACGTGGCCTCACTTTAGGAGGCTTCTAAGACTATAGCCCTGCACCCTGAGATAGATTCCATTGTTCTAGTACCCTAGAACTATGGAATAGTTGAGACATAGAAGGTGTTTTTCAAGTACCCAAGATGTTACACATGTGCACAGGGTTGAAAACCACCGAAGCAAAGCAAAGGGAAGTGTAGAAGTGAGATATTGATCAAGAGAGAATCCAGCAGGAAAAACCTTGGTCCCAAATACCCACAGGTTCACATGGCTACCTGATTAGAAGAAGGGCCTTATTTTTTTCTTGAAATACCTGCTCTGAAATAAAACTCAGAAGGATGTAAGCTTCTGTAAGAAAACATTATCAGTAGCATGAACTGAACAGTACTGGAATTAGCCATGGGTGAATCCAAGAGCACCATTCTTTGATATCTTTAAAAGCAATGAGCTTCTCCATCTCTGAGAAGGGTTCAGATAGAAGGGGCTGGACTCAGTGTCCTGATAGGCCTTATTCTCATGGTATGACTTGCACTGATGATGTCATGTGTATGGTTTTAGAATGCACAGATCTGGAAGGAAACAAACACCCAATAAACTCAAGGTGGCGGACTGACAACTGTGAGACATGTGCTTGTGGCGAAAAAGAAATATCATGTTGCACTCTGTAAGTCTGATCAGAATCTGTTGGCGAAGGGCTAGGAATCTGAATTTTAACAGGTGCCTTGAGAGTCTCATGAGGACACTGTGAGTAGAGAAGCAAGCACTTGACTTAGATGAGAACACCTGAGTCCTGCTGAACTTGAAGTGTCTGGAGAGTTCCAGCCACATTTATCGAGCAGGCCCCATGCTAGGTGCCTAATGGAACAAGGGGAATTGGACTGGGAGCTGACTGGCTTCTCAGAGCAGACTCCCAGGCATCACATTGGTTGGGCCACTGGGTATTATAGCTAAGCCTTGATTTTGTGGCTCCAGAGATTTGACATTGTCTTTGTAGCAAGCGTTGATGTCACTCTGGTGGAGTGTGATTTTATCCCAGCCAGGTGAAGGACTGGTGACTGGTCCCTCCCTAATATAGAAGCATGGCTCCCTGGTGGCTAAAGCATCTGTGTCACCCAGATTTGGCATCCCTGACCTCTTCCAGGATTTTCCACTGTAGGCTTGGATTCTCCTGGGTCTGGTGTGGAAAAGGGCCAGGCTGCTCCTTGCAGGGAAGAGGGAAGAACCTCAATAATGGATTAACTTGAGTCTGAATCTCCATTCCCTTGTATACTGGCTGTGTGACCCTGAGTAAGTTTCTGAATGTGTCTCAGCCTCTGTTTCCTCACAGTATAATCAGGGATAATCAGGTGGCTATGAGAATTAAATGAGATTCTGCACATACATTCTTTAACCCAGCAAACAATGTCTTCTCTGTGCCAATTCTGTGTCCTGCAAGTCTGGGGCAGGAACTGACACCTGGTCAGGTTTCAAGGTGCCTTTTCCTTTCTCCCATCATGTTGCGTGTTCCACTTAGCACACTGCTCTACATGGGGGAAATGAACCACCCCTTCTTCCCTGGAATTGCCTCACTTCCTACCAAGTTTGTTTTTCTCATGAACTTTTTTCTCCTCCGTGGAAAAATACAGACTTTGATTAAGCTTTTTCTGGAAGAAGTTTTTGGACCCACTGCACCCTCTATGACACACTGCCCAGATCTCAAGATGCTTGGTAGCAGTGGAGCCTGAGGCTGGGGACCCAGGCAGAGGCTCCCCAGAAGGGCATGGGAGACATCCTGGCCTCCAGGCTGCCCGGGCCCAGGACAGGGTTGGTTTGCTGACTTGGGTGAGGAAAAGGGAGTGGGAGACAAAAAGCCAAAGCCATCCAACCACTGGCTCTGGATAGCTGAATACCTGATGTTGACAGTTTCTCCTGCCACTCTCTCTCTGCTGCTTCACCTACAGAGCTAAGTCTGGTTTGAATTGAAATAAGCATCCGGTAATATGCTCTTTGCCTTCCCAACCTGTACTTGCACACAGGCAGTGGAGATTCACCATTTCACTTCCTACCACGAACCAAAAGAATTGTATCTCTTTGGCCAGGCACGGTGGCTCACACCTGTAATCCCCTCACTTTGGGAAGCTGAGGCGGGTGGATGACCTGAGGGCAGGATTCCAGACCTGCCTGACCAACATGGAGAAACCACGTCTCTACTAAAAATATAAAATTAGCCGGGCATGGTGGCACATGACTATAAACCAAGCTACTCAGGAAGCTGAGGCAGGAGAATTACTAGAACCCAGAAGGTGGAGACTGCAGTGAGCCCAGATAGCACCATTGCACTTCAGCCTGGGCAGCAAGAGTGAAACTCTGTCTCAGAAAAAAGAAAAGAAAAGAAAGAATTGTATCTCTTCAACAAACACCACTTTCTTTTTAACTTTTATTAATTGTGGTAAAATGTATATTACATAAAATGTGCCAGTTTAACCATTTTAAAACATATAATTCAGTGGCATTAAATACATTCACAGTATTATGCAACCATAAACACTATTTCTGAAACTTTTTAATGACTCCAACCTGAAACTATATTCAGTAAACAATAACTTAGAGTCCCCCTTCCCCAAAACCCCTGGTAATCTCAAATCTACTTTCTATCTCTATGAATTTGCCTAGTCTAGATATTTCATATAAATAGAATCACCCCGTGTTTGTCTTTTTGTGTCTGGCTTATTTCACTTAGCATGTTGTCAAGGTTCATTTATGTCGTAGCATGTATCAGTACTTCCTTCCTGTTTCTGCCGGATCAATATTCCATGGTGTGGCTAGACCACATTTTGCGTATCCATTTATTTGTTGATGAACACTTGAGTTGCTTCCACCTGTTGGCTAAAGTAAGTAATGTTCTGAACACTGTCAGTATACAGACATTGGCATATAATGTTTGGTCTCTGCTTTCAATTCTTTTGGGATATATACCTAGGAGTAGTTTGCTGGGTCACATGGTAATTTTTTGTTGAACTTACTGAGGAGCTGCCAAGCTGTTTTCCACAGCTGCACCATTTTACATTCCTACCAGACAACAGTCATTTTTAAACATGCAAGGTTTTAAATACTTCCCCCAATTTTCTAAATAAAATATATGAATTATGGAACCATAGGAGAATATAAGAGAAAAAGAAGAAAAACCTACTCACAATCCTGACTGCTTAAAGGTAATAACTGTTAACATTTGATCATATTTATTTATTTGTATTAAAAAATTGACACAGGGTCTCACTATGTTGCCCAGGCTGGTCTCAAACCCCTGGGCTCAAGCTGTCCTCTCACCTCAGCCTCCTGAGTAGCTGGGATTACATGTATGTGCCACCATGCCTGGGCTTCTAAGATAATTTCTTTATGACTCTTTTCTACATTTCTTTTCTTGCACATAGTGGATATCAAATTTTATATCAATTCTGTGGGCTGATTTTTCCACTTAATGTTCTAGCGTTGGGCTGGGCATGGTGGCTCACGCCTGTAATACTAGCACTTTGGGAGGCCAAGACGGGGGTGGATCATTTGAATTCAGGAGTTCAAGACCAGCCTGGCCAACATGGTGAGACCCCCATCTCTACTAAAAATATAAAAATTACCTGGGCATAGTGACACACGCCTGTAATTCCAGCTACTCAGGAGGCTAAAGCAGGAGAATCACTTAAACCTGGGAGACAGAGGCTGCAGTGAGCTGGGGTCACATATATAAATACTCTAGCAGTAAGTAGTACCATTTCATCTCATCAGAACTCTTCAAAATATTTGTATGTACTGCAGCTCAATTAGAGGTGGTCTCTGATATTTATCAGCTTCTCTCAGGGCTCCATGACACTGGCCTGGAGTGACTCTTTTGCCACGGTTCATTGAGAGAGCTCCTGTGCTAACAGGCCTCCAAGCCAGGGCTGGGACATCCCTTTCCACCTCCTAGCAACCGTATGCTGGCCACTTCCTGAACAGGGAGGGTGGGAGGAGCCAGCCTGGAACAAGCTGCCTAGCTCCAGAGTAGCCAGACTTGTTCCTGCCTGTCAGCACCTACTGCAGACCTGTGCCTGCAGGATGGAATGCAGGGGTGGGCTGTGTGACTCTATGGTACAGACTGGTCCATGTTCCTGGAGGTCACACTCTGGGGCTGCCAGCCAAGGGGTGCCCTTAAGTTGGTGAAGGCACTCCAGCCAGCTGGAGCATGGGTGGCTTCCTGAATAGAGGGAGTGGCACTGGGGGAGGGGGTTCTGGCGGTCCTTTCTCTAACAGGCTCTGGTTTTGTCTCAATAACAGTGTTTCTACACCTGTGGGTTATGACAGACACAACTGCCGGAAAATCTTCAACAAGGAGACCTGCAAGATAAGTGTGGTGGAGAAGAAGGACCCAAATAGGCCCTGTGGTGTCAGCGGATGGATATCGTAATGTGCTTCTAGTAGGCACAGGGCTCCCAGGCCAGGCCTCTTCTCTTCTGGCCTCTAATAGCCCTTCCTATCAGTAAAAGATTTTTGAGCAAACACTTGAATATGCGTGCACTGTTAATTTATACCTTATGTATGCATTAATTTAATACACATTATAAAGCATACAAAACATTTAAAAATGGAGACAAAAATACACATGAATAAAAGTTCTATTTTTCCTAAACTCTGTAATAGGTCACTGTGCGTCCCTTACTGGGGGACCACTGCCACTCTTGCTGTTTGTGATATCTGCACTCTGCTGCCTATGTCCTGCTGGCTGGTAAACAATAGAAAAAATGTGTGTCTTCAAGCTGAAATTAGATCCCTTCTTTTCTTTAAGGTGTTCCTGTTTATCCCTCCTTCCTTTTCATCAGGAAGTGCCTTCTATGATGTGTCCCCCACATTCCTCTGTGGTTGATTGAGGTGAAAGCAGGTTAGAACAAGATAGCCTGAACAAGTGCCCCCAAGGCCACATGCAGCCCGAGGGGAATTCAAGGCCAGGGTCTCCGCCTTGCTGGTGCAGAGTGGCCTGGGAGCAAGGCCTCAGGATCAGTTATCTCTTGTTATACACAGAGCACCCAAAATTTAATGGCTTAAAACAATGACAACATCGATTCTCTTTGGACCGTTTCTGCGTTAGAGAACATTTGTTCACTCGACAGGTCTGTACGGAGCACCTGGGCCAGGCAGCGCTCTGGACCTGGGGATACAGCAGTGAACCAGAGAGATCTCAGGAGAGAACCCTGCTCTCCTAGGGCTTGGAGTCAGCTGTGTGTATGTGACAGTGGGCAACTGATAAACAGCTTTATTTTCCTTTGTCCCCCTTCTGTTTAAACATGCCATGTGGGCCAGTTGAGCAATCTAGACAGGTCCCTTAGCTTTCTTGGTCACCTTCAGATAATTTAAAAAGGTGGTCTGAGTTACACTTTGAGTTATATGAAGTCTCATTCCAGGGGCATATCTGAATTGAGAGGGAATGGGGGACAGGAGAATTAAGGGCTCCTCCTGCCTGAGGTCACGTTCTTGGCTGACTTCCTCTGGGACTTCTGTGGGCCTCTCTCTCCACAGCTCCCCTTCCACTCACAGCCTATGATTATTATCTTAGCTTCTGCATCAGAATCTTCTCTCTTGTTGTTTTGTAATGAGGTTGCCTTGTCCCTTGTAGGAGTCACTCTTGGGTGGGATCCATAAAACCCTGCTATGATCTTCTCCTTTGCTGGGGAATGTGGGGAAGCAGTTGCCAACCGAGTATGGAGGACCTCTGTCAAAACTGAGACAGAAAGAAGTGCTATTTTAACATGTGGTGACAAGTAAATAATGTGGGTTATAATTTGGGCTATAGGCTGGACATGGTGACTCATGTTTGTAATCGCATGTGAGGTGAGAGAATCGCTTGTGCCCAGTTTTAGAGCAATCTGGGCAACACAGCAAGACCCTGTCTCCACAAATTTTTTTTGTTTGTTTGAGACAGAGTCTCACTTTGTCGCCAGGTGCCAGGCTGGAGTTAGTAGCATAATGTCGGCTCGCTGCAGTCTCTGCCTCCTGGATTCAGGTAATTCTCCTGCCTCAGCCTCCCGAGTAGCTGGAACTACAGGTGTGTGGCACCACGCCCAGCAAATTTTGGTATTTTTTAGTAGAGAACAGGTTTCGCCATGTTGGTCAGAATGGTTTTGATTTCTTGACCTCATGATCCGCTTACCTCGGCCTCCCAAAGTGCTGGGATTACAGGTGTGATCCACCACGCCTGGCCCACACACAAAAAATTTTAAACCGGGGACCATGGCACACGTCTGTATGTAATCCCAGCTATTCAGCAGGTTGAGGCTGGCGAATCACTTGAATCCAGGAGGCAGAGGTTTCAGGGAGCTGAAATTGTGACACTGCACTCCAGCCTGTGCAACACGACCAGATCCTGTCTCAAAGAAAAAAACAAAAGAAAGAAAGAGAAAAAGAATCTGGGCTCTTGACATTTATTTATTTACTCAACGGTTTTTTTTTTGAGACAGTCTTGCTCTGTCGCCCAGGCTGGAATGCAGCGTCGCGATCTTGACTCACTGCAACCTCCGCCTCCCAGGTTCAAGTGATTCCCCTGCCTCAGCCTCCTGAGTAGCTGGGACTACAGGCACGTGCCACCACCACAGCGGATTTTTTGTATTTCTAGTAGAGTGGGGTTTCACCGTGTTAACCAGGATGGTCTAGATCTCCTGACCTCATGATCCACTTGCCTTGGCCTCCCAAAGTGCTGGGATTACAGGTGTGATCCCCTGAAGCCGGCATATTTACTCAACCTTTAGAAAAAAAATGTGGCAAATGTGGAATCATCTGGCCTTTTGTGTCTTACGATATTCGCTTTTGTATCTAAACATTCAAGCTAAATAGTATCTACCTCGTGAGGACATCGGAATCACTTGGGATGGTCCTCAGCACAGAATTTGCCTTCAAAAAAAACGTTTGCTTCATTTAATTTGATTTATTCACGGAGGGTGAAAGGACACTGCACAAGGGTGGGAGGGAGTGTGCGCCTGAGCTCTGCGCCTTCTCCGGGGCAGTCAAGGGCTTCTGGCTGACCACAGTGGAGATCTCGTGAGACTGTCAGACGAATGGCATCAGCCGCTGTGTCCAGCCGGAATGCTTTTTTTGGCAACTACTAAAACCAAGGGACATTGAAAATCACTAACAAAGCTCATCAAAAGTGTGGTAGTGAGCTAACGATATGGTGTCTCACCTTGTAATCCCAGAACTTTGGGAGGCTGAGGTGGGGTGATCGCTAGAGGCCAGGAGCTGGAGACCAGTCTGGACAACATAGCAAGACCCCCATCTCTACTAAAATTAAATAAATCAGCCAGGTGCAGTAGAGCCCGCCTAAAGTCCCAGCTACTCAGGTGGCTGAGGTAGGAGGATCACCTGAGACCAGGAGGATGCAGTGAGCTAAGATCGAGCCACCTGCACCCCAGCCTGGGTGACAGAGCAAAACCCTGTCTCTTTTTAAAAGTCCTCTTTGGTTGTCAGTCTACAAAGATCACAGAGCAGGGGTTAGATAAGCAGCCACCACTCTCATTCAAAAATCCTATTCATTTAGGACTCTGGAATTACAGCTCTGAAGGAGCTTCCTGGGCCCCAGACTTGAAGAATCTCACTAAAGGATATCCACATACTAGCTTGTCTCCCACTCCACTTAGTTTATGTCCCAACAAGAATTGCAACAAGTGCCTGAGCAATCCCTCAGTGTGGTGGAAACGGATCTTCCCTCTGGGTGGAGCTGAGTGGCACTGCCAGAAACCCCAATGAAAGGAATGCCACGTCTGGGCCACGGTCTGGGTCTGCCCTTCTCCCTGTGGCTGGGGACTGCCAGGCTGGCATTCTCCAGGGCTATGAGGGGCCTGTGTTCCTAAGAGGGCAGGCAACCCGACGGCCTGGGTACAGGCACAGTCATGTCCCAGTCCTCCCATGCTCAGGTCGAGCATCACCCCTGCGGCCCTCAGGTCCCCGGGGCCTGCCTCTCGTGCCTGCCTCTCATGCCCGCATTGGCCGCCAGCGACCTGCGGATCTCCTCCACAGACCATGGCCGCATCCACATGGGCTCAGTCTCTGGCGCCTGCTCCTGGTCGGGGGTCATCTGGTTCATCTGCAGTGAAAAGAACAAGGAGACAGGCTGAGCATGAGGGCAACAGGGATGGCAGCCCCAGCCCAGGCCGTTCCCTCTGCCACCAAGCCTGCTGCCCTCACCATCCCATCCTCCCCAGGGTGGTTTTGAACTCCTGACCTCAGGTGATCCACCTGCCTCAGCCTCCAATTTGGATATTTTTTTTATTTTGTAGAGATAAGTTCTCACTATCTAGGCTGGTTTTGAATTCCTGGCTGTAAGGCTGGTTACCTCGCTGGGAACTTGGACACGCCCATCCCTCTCCCCACCTGAAAATTACATCACCAGAATATGCCCATCATCTAGCCCCACCTTGGAAATCCCCTCTGCACTTGGCACTAAACCCAACCCTTGGAAATGCCCTCTGCCCTTGGCACTCAACCCCGCCCTTGGAAATCCCCTCTGCACTCGGCACCTAACCCACCCTTGGAAAGCCCTGCCAAAACCTGCCCAATAGCACATTGCCCCGTCTGAAAATCCCGTCTACCTATCTATAGCAGCTTGCCATGTCCACGTCCTGTTTCTCCACAGCCAATCAAACCCCACACCCAGAGGAGTCGGGTGTGACTTCCCTGGCTTCTTTCCCTGGGACCATGGAACCTCGCCTGGGAGCCATATAAATTGGCATTTAATCTTTTTATGCTGGCCTCGGTTTCCTCATTTTTAATTCGGCAATAAACCTCACAGGACAATAACCCTTACAAGTGGTGCCAAAACCTGGGATGAGTTTTAAGACCCTTCCTGGGGGAAACTGACTCCTCCACCAGAAGCTGGACCAGAGAACCGCTCCATTGCAAGGTAACAAGGAAATGCTCCATCATAAGTTAAGACTTCTGTTACCCACAGCCTCTCCCACTGCCTGCCTCATGGACTCCCTGCTCGCAATCGCAGCTGCGTCAGGGACTCCTTTTCGTCTCGCCATGGGCCTGGGGCCCCGGCCTAGTCTCGAGGTCTTGAGAGTAGAGGAGACATCCCTACACTCTTGTCTTCTCCCTTTGAGAGGTTTCTCAGGGTCAGGATTCTGAGGGAGACATCCCCACCTTCCTGAACCCTCTCATATTCTCGTGGACTCCCTGCTCATAACTGCAGCCGCGTCAGGGACTCCTTCTCATTTCTCGCCATGGGCCTGGGGCCCCGGTCTCATCTCACCATGGCCCGGGTCCCTGGCCTCATCTCGAGGACCTGAATGTAGAGATGTCCCTACACTCTTGTCTTCTCCCTGTGAGGGGATTCCGGGGGTCGGGAATTTGAGGGAGACATCCCCATCTTTCTGAACCCTCTCCGGTGTTCGGTTGTGCAGTCCAGGATGCCTTCTGCACATCTCCGCAGCAGCGGCCGAGGTTTGGGTATTCAGAAGCCCTGTTTGTAGAACCAGGCCCTGCCTAACAGCAGGACCAAATCTCTGGCTTATGGTACTAAAACGTCTATCTCAAATTCTCAGATCAGCCCTTTTTGGCATATAAGCTCTCGCTAGTTAAGTAACTCTGTTTTCTTTTTTCCTCTTCTTCTACTACTGAGGCATCACTCTCTCTCTCTTTTCA